ATTTAAAATCATTTGATCATACATGAGTAGGGAACATTACCCTAAAGTTCGAGTTTTTTAGCTTTTTCCGTTCCCGGGTCAGTAATTTTCGCAAGAAAATTTCCACGCGCTCGTATGTGGGCACGGGCGCTTTTTAACACCTGATCTTGGTGATACATGAGTAGGGAACATTCCCTTAAAGTTTCAGCTTTCTAGCTTTCCCCGTTCCAGGGTTAGTAATTTTCGCGCCCAAATTTTCACACGCCCAAACGTGGGCTCGGGCGCTTCTAAATACCTGATTCTGCTCGTGCATAAGGAACATGCCCTCAAAGTTTCAGCTTTCTAGCTTTTCCCGTTCCCGGATTAGTAATTTTCGCGCCCAAATTTCCACGCGCTCGTGTGTGGGCTCAGGCGCTTCTAAACGCCTGATTTTGCCCGCACATGGGTAGTGAACATCCCTTTAAAATTTCAGCTTTCTAGCTTCTACTGTTCCCGGGTTAGTAATTTCCGCGCCAAAATTTCCACGCGCTCGTACGTGGGCACGGGCGCTTCTAAACACCTGATTTTGCTTGCACGTGAGTAAACATTCCCTTAAAGTTTCAGCTTTCTGGCTTTTCCCGTTCCCGGGTTAGTGATTTTCGCGCCAAAATTTTCACGTGCCCGTACGAGAGCCCCTAGCGATCCTAAGGAGCTGAGTTTGAAAACTTTTGGTCGTGCATAAGTATAAAACATTCCTCCAAAGTTCCAACTTTCTAGCTTTTCCCATCCTCGAGTTATGAATTTCCCCGCCATAATTTTCACGTGCCCGTACGTGAGCCCCGGGCACTCCTGGGAAGCTGAATTTGAAATCTTTTTGTCATACGTAGGTAGGGAACATTCTCCCAAGGTTTCAGCTTTCTAGCTTTTCTCCTTCCCGAGTTAGCGATTTTCGCGCCAAAACTTTCACGTGCTCGTACGCGGGGCCCAGATGTGCGTGGGCCCGAGTTAGCGATTTTCGCGCCAAAACTTTCACGTGCTCGTACGCGGGGCCCAGACGTGCGTGGGAGTCCGAGTTAGCGATTTTCGCGCCAAAACTTTCACGCGCTCGTACGCGGGGCCCAGACGTGCGTGAGGATTGAATCCGCGGTCCTGGGGTAGTACCTGGCTGGGCAACACATTGGCAAAATTTCAGCTTCAAAGCTTGCGTGGTTGGCGAATTGAAATACCCGGACAGACGAACACACACACACACATACAAACATACACACACACACTGACAGGGTGTGTGTGTGTGTGTGTATAAAAAACTTTAGGCATCTCGTGCTCCGAGCCGAGTTTTGGCAGCGGCCTCGGAAACGACAACTATTAAAACTCGGCCCGGCCGCGCAAATATCATCAGTAAAATTCATCAGTGTTTTGGGTCACGAGTTTTGGAAGTCGAGGTGCCCGGTTTTTGTTTAGCTGAAGTTCCAGGCCTCACGTTCGCACGGACAGACGCACACACACACCGGGGTCGTCACAATATGTGTTTTTGCAAAGATGCAAAAAGACATAACAACTCGACAAACAAAGAAAGATCACCCGCACAAAGCTACGCAGAAAAGAAAAGGATTTTAACTCCAAATTTCCGTTATCATTAGGCAAGACTTCTTAGATAATTTAATAGCATACCACTGCTAGCAACACTTGGATCGTGCCCGTAAAAAGGTGTAGTTTGTGGAACCATTCGCATATGTTGAGAACCTACTGGAGCTCCACTATTTGGCTGCATTTCCACTGAAAAAGATGAAGATCAACTCACACACAACAGAACTAGATAAATTCCAATTTTTCTTCTATTTATGGAAAAAATGTCAGCTTAAAATGAAAAATTTTCTTAGAGAAAATGCTCGTTCAAAAGTGACTCCAAATATCTCCGCATCCGCAATCCCTTGCCTTGATAAATTCTTGCATAACTCCTGTTGCACCTAGCCCTATGAGCCGACATGAAGGCTGTAATGGGAATGGTAACTGAAGAACTGAAGGGATGTGCAAGCGATGATGGAATGCAACATTCTTAACCGGAAAAGCGAAAAAAAAAAAAATAAGAAAACACGTGTCAAGATAATCATGGCCAGACTGCTGAACACAGCAACGACGGAAAGGTTCCCAGTTGCGTAAAACTGCGCTACAAAACATGATCAGGGAAGCGAACTAAAATACTTTCCTGAATGTTTTTTTAAATTGGTATGATCAGCAGTTGCTAATCAGAATGTGAGAACTTCAAAGTGTGCCTACTGTTTGATATGCTCCTCTGCAGCGGTGTGCTATTAACCATAGGTGGCGCCAAGCCGGCGCCAGCACCCGCCTGTGGAACAGCACCAGGAATAGGCGCCTGAGTTGGCGACATCAGCCGCGGAGAGCGCATGTCGTGTCCAGACGGTGGTGCTTGGTAACAGGGATTTACAGCAGCACCGGGTGTTTGGCTTTGAGCTGGTCCAGGTGCGGGATATCGTGCTGAAACAGAACAGAACACGTACAGGGAAAAAGGCACGTACAAAGGTTTAACAAATTTTACACTGAATTTCTTCAACAGTGATGGACATGGATCAGTGGGAAGCGGCACTGCTTACGCGCAGAAGGCTGACGGTTCGTCTTCGTCAGTAGCACAACTAATTTTCCCTTTATGATTCTTCCATTCGTTTCAGTGGTACTGACATATGCCACGGAGTCAATATCGCCACCAACTTCTTACCAAGCAACCCTCGAAAGAGAAAAAGACTGGAAGCCGTGCTTGCAGGAGTTGCTGCAGGCACTTGCCACCGCTCTGGCTACTTCCCAAGTGCCTCTAATTATCTACAGAGGAAATATGGAGGGGTTTTGTCTTATGTTCTAATTATAACTCACGCAAGGCCTTGAAAATGCGCTATAACACTGCGATGGCAGCGCGGCTAAAACGGCACTATCACAGAAGCTTCCTTCTCGCTTTTTTACAGTTTGTTTATCAGCTGGCCCGGTATTTAAAACGAAGCTTTATTCATTCTAATTCCTACCCAACCACAATAATTATGGCCTGATAGATTTAGCAGCCTAAAAATGAAAAGTGGTCAAGGGACCGCTTAATATTACTTTGCCTCTCCAACATTTTATTAAACAACTCGATTCCTGGTATGAAAGAAGCCTACTGCTTGCAAGTCTATCGACTACATATAAAGGCAAAAACAACACAGCAAAAAAGAATATTTTTTTGGCAAATTTGTAAGTTTTATATCGCCGAACACAACAAAGAATCAAGAAATGAAGAAACATAAATCTGACAGACTGTCTGAATTCGTCTTGAATCGTTTGGCATATTTCTGCCATCTGGAAGCAAGCTGCACGTGTTGCAGAAGCCACATTTTCAGTGTATTAAACGTCCACCTTTTACAGCCCACCCGACTCAACTCATCATTTTCTAAATGTATCACTCTGTTCAAAAATAAATTTTACGCTCATGTTGGCGGGTGTGCGGTAGTTTTAGATGGCGTCACGCTCATGCTAGTATTAAGAGTTCGACTCCTAGAACCAGCCCTTCGACAATTCGTTTATTCGTTTCGACGGTGATTGGTACTGGTAAATGTAAGTGAAATGCAATTAGGCTGTTTGTAAGCAACTTTTGAAAAGAGGATCCAATGACAGTCTCAGCCTTGCCGGCAGATGGTTGCTACTGATTTGTGCTACCACGTCGGCTGTTATAGAGTGTTCTGCTTTTCAGAGACAGTGAATTATGAAAGGGTTTAATTTTTGATTTAAATAATGATGCATTTTTCAACATGCTTTTTAAGTTGTGCTTGAAGAAGTAAGAACCATCTTCAACTTAAACGGTTGCTAGCGGAATTAGCTAAACCTCACAAAGGATTTAGCAGGCGATTCTGATACACTGATTTTCGAACAGTTGCTGGTTAGACGAAATTTTAATCGGCAAACAATCCCACTCCATCCATTCATTCCCCATGCTCCTAACCGCCCCGTCTCCCCTCCTCTTCTCCAAAGTTTACCACTGCTCTGAAGTTCAACTTCACTGGAATGTCGAGCGAAGAGTGGCATTCAGGGCTGTTCTGATACTATGGAAATTTTTCGCCATAAAATCGGCTTCCACTCAAACACAGTTAGTATGAAAGAATAAAACTTTTTTGACAAAGGAGAAGCGGAGCGGCTCGTACCAAGTGGCGAGTATTGCTGCGGTTGTAGGTTCTGCTGCTGACTGGCTGGCGCTGACACTGGTGCTGCCGGATACACTGCAACAGAAGAATGATTAGACAAATAAGAATAGTTGGACGCCCAATTTTTTTAGTCTGATTTACTGTATGTGCGTACCACGCCAGTCCGTCCAATTCTGCACGAAGCACGTACAATAATCCATCAACTGCTGCGTGAAGCAAGCACCTGCTATCGTCCACTTATCTTCATTCAACACTTTCGGATACTATTAGTCCAACATGTCTTTCAGCAGCCCTATGCTAATGCAACTAAGTCACCCCCTGTAGTTTATAATTTTCCAGTATATCTTTTAAAAGTTCCACGGCTGAACAATGGCTATATGAAGTCTGATAAAAGAAAAGCTACTGTTCTAATAACTCAATTTAAAATAAGACGAACATCGATTACAAATTCTTTTTGAAAGTAGACATAGCATGCACCAGATGACTTGACTTACCTATTCACTCTTCACATTTTTCTCCGTAAAGAGCGTTTTTCAAAATGAAATTCAAGTTGCACAGCCTTGTGCAGATTCGTCTTGAAACAAATCTACCTACATCTGCAATAAAACTGCGCCGCAAAACAGCCCGCGCTTACAGTGCTCAAGAGCTTCTCAAATCTCGCCCTAGCATCACCACGTTGCATCAAGGATCAATCGTTCAGAACAGAATGTGCAGGGCTGAAAAGACAAATCTGGTGCTCTTTGAGTTAGCGACCCCACGCAATTCGGCGTGTGTACTAAAATCCGTCAGTCCGTTCTCTGATGCCATATAAACATAATTTGGTGCTGCTGCTGCTAAATTTGAACCAGTGACCACTCTGATTTTCACTACACTACAAAAACTTTGAGCTGGCGCTCACCCGTAACACTCGCACTCACGGAAAAGTTTCTAATCCTCACTGACTTAGCTTCGAAAACGACTGGTATTTTCATGCATGACCGAAAATTTCCGTATCGAAGGAAAAACAAGAAATTCGAATCCATTATTTTTACAAGCATACCATAAAAACATACAGTAAATTGAGCTTACTAAATAGGAAACATGCAGTTCAGGCTAGAGAGAATGGAACAGCTGCGCGTGGCGTGGGAAAATATATAACATTCAGGCTCCATACTGACAGCAGAAGCTAAGTTGGCGATGCATTTTACACTATTACGCTTCATTTTACAAACTACCAGAAAGCTCTCGCTGGAAGCAACATAAGTCTTGCGCTCCTGTGAGGGATATCGAACTGCCCTCTACCCCTTCAAATGTTATGTTGGCTTGCGGCCAGTCATCCACACAAATAGGTCAAGCTACCGGAACATAAATGCCTCGGGAGTGCAGAAAATTCCCGATTTGTTTGCTGTAAAGCGCGCAATGGTGGCTCGAAAAGAGCACAAAAATCTGACACATATCAGCCAAAGCGATGTCGACTTTGTTTTTCAACCATTTGTAGCCTGAATTCGACATCCACATTTGACGCGCCGAAGCGCAATTCAGAATAGCCCGACCTATTTCCTCCTATTCCCCTGGTAGCCCCTTAGGCGACAGTGGTATGTCCGATTAATTTACTTCCCCAGAACTGTGTAGAATCCAACGCAGCAGCAATGACCCATCCAGCTTCATTCTGTGCCACTAAACTAACCTGACCAATAAAGCTTTTGACTGTTTACCTTAAACACGCAGTTTTATAAGTGCGTAAATGAAATGCATGTTGGTGCGAACACCAAACCTTTTTAGTCCATCTATTTCCAACACTGCTCTTCTTTTCTCTGCTTCTGCCAAATACAATCAAAAGTTACCTGGGAAACGACAAAAAAATTCAGGATTTCGACAAAATCCGTACAGTATTACATTGTTAAGGCAAGCGTGAAACTGCCTGTATGTCAGAGGCCGATTAGCGCACAAATGTTCTTTTAAACAAGACTGTCACTCAGCAAATCTGAGATATGAAGTAACACATTCTGAAAGAGGTACCCACCAAAGTCACACTCAGGATTTTCAAGATACTTGGAGACAAATGAATTCAGGCAAACTTAGACAAAACGCAACGATGGGTAGAGGGAGAAAAGAGGAGGATATAAATGTTCTCAAAAAATATATTCACTGATATGACGAAGGGGCATTTGCATAATGTCAGATGGAACGAATGCGTTAAGAAACATCCCACTGACTGTTTTTATGCGTTTTTGCATATATGTAAATTGCAAAAACGCATACTGGGAAGTCTGTGTGTATGTGTGTGTGTGTGTGTCTGTGTGTTTTCACTTTTTGTTACCCACTTTCAACTCGAGACCCAGAAAAGTCGGAAGGCTGAAACATTGGGAATATGTACCCATACCATGCGTGACCCTCCCGTTTTAATTTCATCCCTCTCGGGCGCCTGGGTACCGTGTGCGGGCACTTTAAAAAAATATGAAAATTTTTTGGCGGGGAAGCGATCTCGGAAACCACATGAGCTAAGGGGCTGAAACCTTGTGGGGATATTTCCTGTGCATGTACTAGCTAGAAATTTCAAATTCAGCCCCCAATTATGCGTGGTACTCACGTAAGAGCGTATGAATGTTTTAGGAGGGAAACTGCTAACTCGGGTACCAGGAAAGCTAGAAAGCTGGAATTTTGGCGGGATGTTTCCTATCCAGTTGCAACTCAATTATTTCAGAATCTTCCCCAAGCTATGCATGGTACTCACGTCAGGGCATATGAAAGTTTCTGCAGGGAAATTACTAACTCGGCAACCAGAAGAGCTAGAAGGCTGAAATTTCAGGCAGATGTA